TCTTGTCGATGCAGAACGTTTCATCAGTGTTCTCAACGAGTTGATGTACAGACAGTGTAGCATTGTATGGCTCGACAACAGTATCTGAGACCTTAAAAAACAAGAAAAAATCTTTAATTTTGTTCTAAAATCATATAAATTACCTTCTTTAGAAAATACGTAATACTTTTTGATAGTTAAAATATTTTCTGCAATGTTCACTGGTCATCACCAGTATTAACAGAGTTTTCAGCCGGTTTTTTCTAATAATATTTGTATTTTCACATAAAAATTTTGCAGTAGATTCTACTCGTTCCTTATCTTAGATGCAAAACGCATCACCAATCTGTCGGTTTATGTAATCCCTTAGAAGAAGGTTATACTAAATGGTCAGTAAGCACTTCATAAATCACGAATTATTTCATGACTTTAAATTAATGAAAATAAATGGTTTAATAATATGTTCAAATATAGGAAACAAGAGTTTCTAAAATTTAATTTATTCAAATCCAGTCCATTAGAATAAGTTATCACCCACATGTAATGACGATTTTAATAACTAAAGTATCTGTGTCTAGATTTGTTTTTTTTTATGTAGCTCAACTATACTGGCTATCGATCAGTCAGTGTGAATAAATACTTTTATATGAAGCTCTTGGTAAGGTTTACAAATTCAAAATTGTTCGCATTTTTTGCGAGAAATGGACAGTTATTAATGATAGATAAGCTACCGAGATTAAAAGCTGTATTTTACATTCATTGTTGAGGATACTTTAAAATATCAAGAGTGGATATTCTTAATATCTACTAGAATATTATTTCGTTGGTTAATAAACTTATAATCACAGTACTATTATTCTAATGGTCTTAATTTTTCTTATTACTGATATTTAGGGCTGAGTCTGATCAGTCTCTATTGACACGTCGGATGTCTCAATAATCTTTGTAGCTACTAGTTGGTTAGATTGTTAATGCCAAGTCTAATAACAACTGTTTACCGAGTAAAGAAAAACAAGCAAAACCTTATGTAAAAAGTATTGAACATCGACATACCAAAATGAATTAGTCATTTACCTTTGGTGATGGAACAACTGAAAATGTGTTCATTATTCGATCAGGATACTCTTCACGAATTTTCGAAATCAACAATGTTCCCAAACCTGAACCAGTTCCACCACCAAGTGAATGAGTCAATTGAAAACCTTGAAGAGAATCCGTGTTCTCTGCCTCCTTACGCATCACATCTAACACTGAGTCCACAAGTTCGGCACCTTCAGTATAATGACCTTTAGCCCAGTTGTTTCCTGCACCACTTTGTCCAAATACAAAGTTGTCTGGACGAAAAAGTTGGCCAAAAGGACCTGCACGGACACTATCCATTGTTCCTGGTTCCAGGTCTACTAATATTGCACGTGGAACATATTTTCCTCCCATTGCTTCGTTATAGTAAACGTTAATCCTTTCCAGCTGGAGATCTGAATCACCACGATATGCTCCTGTTGGATCGATTCCATGTTCATCAGAAATCACTTCCCAAAACTGGAAATAGTAAGCACTATAATAATTTACGTAAACAATAGACATTTATTTAAAAATATGTTTTTTCTAACATAAATTCTTGATTCATTTCGTTATGCAATCATCATACTGATAAAGTGATTTGGATGTACGGACGAGAAAATCTGATATAACAGTTATTTTGATTCAAAATAATCGTCATCATATTTCTCATCTATACTAAAAACAAATGAAACAATACGTTGACAAGGTGTAATAAATCAGTGTTCATTGACCGGGCCGTTTATTTCGAACTAATAAATAAGTCATAAACAGATTTTCTGTAATTGTATTTATCTATGCAGAACTACACTCTGTGTGTATGAGAAATAATTTTGTTATCCAGTTACTAAACCCGACGTGGAAGTAGTGAAATCTGAACATAAAAGAGCATTCAGAAAATTGTTTACTGCCTGAATGTATTTTAAAGTTTAATTCAAAAAAGTTTTTCTAGTTTATGAGAGACCATAACAACCCATAACAAATTTATCCACTTTGAAAGAGATATAGATAAATTTGTATACGTACACATAGTTTTTTTATGAAAAAAGTAGTTTATCTTGAAGAATTTTTCAAATAACATCTACCTTAGATCCAATTTGATTACCACACTGTCCAACTTGAAGATGAACTATTTCACGCATTCTGTAATGAACAATTCCAATTTATTTGTCAGTTAATTACTTCTGATTTATTAATAATATCCTTTTTATATATTTTTTAAAGGTGTGTGCTTTATAGTTAATCTTTGTGTGTCCTGGTATCAAATCAACTCCTCTATTTACAATTGGTAGACTTTTGTTTATTTTCAAAGTTGATTTGATTTAATGAATGTGTTATTGTGAATGACACAACGAATCCTATTGGTTAGTTTCAATGCTTTTACCCAAAAGAAGAAGAATATTATTCAAGAAAATTAATAAGAAAAGTCTCGTGACATTAAGAAGCAGCTTAATGAAATAATGAAATTCATCGTAATATGTAATCATTATGGTCTCCTAAAGAACGCCCTCGTCTTGTATGTTGTTTCTGATATATAAGGTATTGTTTATAGACTGACGATCTTTAGTGCTCTATTCTCTGTTCAGAAGACCAAATCAACCTGTTTTATCAGTTATTAAAATAAATGGTTATTTAGGTGCTTGGTATTGAAACAATAATATTCACATTTAGGAATAATCTATCAAACGTTAGTTTGGTTTCAAGATAACTGGCAGATAACAGTAATGTAAAGTGGAACGAATTTATAATTTTACATGTCCTAAAACGTGATTATCTGGGAAATATAAGAGACCAATACAAACTTTAGATAGTTAATGAACCAGAAAAGTAACTAACATGTGACTGATACGTGATGTCTTAATTCCAAAGTCATTGTAAATAACAATACTAATTATTCTGACCATAATTTTATCAGTAAGATGACAGAAATCAACTAACTTCTTGATCTAAAAGTGCTCTTCTCAAAGATAATTTATGCAAACAAACTTTCCGTGAGACAGTTATGTTTGTTCTATACGCACACCAAAATGGTGTAACATAAAAATTTAACTATTTTCAGATACCTATTTGTCTTCGGCGTACTTACATTTAAGTCAGTTGACTTGCTGTTACATATTTAATATTATTTATTGAGGTCATGCATTTTTCTGTACATTATCTTAAGAGCCATATACATCTGATCAATACAATAATGTGGTCATCCATTCGTGCTCATTTAGAAGCATATATTTGTTTAGCAGCCTAAACAACATTTACAACCATAGTATATAAACACAAGTTCTATGTTATGATTTTATCAATAACAGTTGACTAAACTGAAACCAATACTCATCAAGTAGATCACCGCAAATCAAAATACTCTTAATTAAACAACTAAGTCTCACTATCACAAAAACTCAAGTTTTTTCAAATATTACCCTTAAAAAGTTCGAACATTGATTTGTGAGAAATTAGAATTGATTATAAAACAAAATTTCGATAATGATATTAGAAATTTTCACAGATTGAAATCATGAGTCAGTTGAAGCTAGACCACCATTGAAAACCTGGAAGCACTGGACGGCCGTTTCGCCCTAGTATGGGACTCCTCAGCAGTGCGTGTCCACGATCCCGCACCACACAGGGCTCGAACCCAGGACCTACTGGCTTCGCGCGCGAGCACTTAACCATTAGACCACTGAGCCGGCACCCAACGGTGTTAATGTCTAACTTCAACCAATCCACGAAGTTGCGCCACCATATACCATTATCTTCAGTGAGCTGATATCTCACAACAGACCTGGTTGTACTCCACTGGTAACGGCTTCCCACTAGAACTCCAGGAGTATCTCTTGAAGTCAGTCACTAGTGAGCAGATGATTATTATCAGAAGGGGTTTGTGGAGATTTTTAGAAATTTTCACAGATTGAAATCATGAGTCAGTTGAAGCTAGACCACCATTGAAAACCTGGAAGCACTGGACGGCCGTTTCGTCCAGTGGAGTACAACCAGGTCTGTTGTGAGATATCAGCTCACTGAAGATAATGGTATATGGTGGCGCAACTTCGTGGATTGGTTGAAGTTAGACATTAACACCGTTGGATGCCGGCTCAGTGGTCTAATGGCTAAGTGCTCGCGCGCGAAGCCAGTAGGTCCTGGGTTCGAGCCCCGTGTGGTGCGGGATCGTGGACACGCACTGCTGAGGAGTCCCATACTAGGACGAAACGGCCGTCCAGTGCTTCCAGGTTTTCAATGGTGGTCTAGCTTCAACTGACTCATGATTTCAATCTGTGAAAATTTCTAAAAATCTCCACAAACCCCTTCTGATAATGATATTAGAAGACGAAGATTATAAGAACTATGTGATATGTTAGCGCAATACATTTCGAACAGTCTGGTCACACATATACTTGTTAAGAGCATTTATATATAAAAATAAAAGGTCAACTAGACAGGAAACGGGGTAAGAGGAGATAAGGATAATGATAAGAGTAATAATAACAATAATGTGAACACAAAGCGAAACCTAATCACTCTGGATAATAAGTCAATATTACCAGGGTAGGTTTAAGGTAAGAACAAACTGTTTTTGAACACATAAAGGGGGTTTGAATTTTCGTATGGCTAAGGCTTCAATAAACCTTAGTATACGCCCTTTTACACTTTTATACAGCACTACAAAAGCTGCATTTAGATCAATCATGTGACCTGTTTCAATTATATGTTTAGCAATAGAGGATGATGGATGTTTATCCTCTGCTCTTATTGAGTCACTTGATTGTATTTGTTTCTGAAGCCATTTGGGTACATGTTCACTCACCCTAATGTTGAGATCACGATTACTCCTCCCTATGTATGTGTGACCACACACACATTTAAATTGGTAAACACAGTGGGATGTGACGCAATCGTTTCCATGTACTTTAGGTTTTGAATGAAGCATGCACCTTGTTCTTTCTTTGATGATGACCTTTGCTGCGTAATAGGTTTTATTGATGACTGATTTAAGTCGTTGTTTCAGTAAAAGGCTATTTGAATCACCTCTGAATGGTAAGGTGATGTAGACAGGCTTTTTCTCTACCGAGGCTACAGTAGGTCTCGCTGTACCATGGACTTTCCATCTATTTATGAATTTCAGAGGATAGCCAGATTGTTCGAAATGTATTGCGCTAATATATCACATAGTTCTGATAATCTTCGTCTTCTAATATCATTATCGGAATTTATCAAAGGGACTAATTGTTATAAAACAAAACTTATTCTCTTAAGACCCAATTTAAATAGAAGAATTCGTAGAAATGAAGACTTCCTTCCCCGAATAGTCTTTATTCCTTATTTATTCCCTATAAACTTGGACTTTTAAGCTGCGAAATTAGACAAAACTGTTGACTTTATCTTGTTGGCACTGGTTATTTGAATCTTCCCATTGATGTTATAGACTACGATTGAAGATATAGACAAAAAATACAAATGAATTAAACCTCATTATACAAACCAACAGCTATCTGAACTCAGTAGCTAAGTGAATAACGCAGTAGCATTTGAAGCGAACGGCAATGGGTTCAAGTCGCGGAGTGAACATCAACTCTGAGACGCAGGTAGGACGAAACGCATGTTCTGGATCTGACTTCTAGTTACCACCCCTCTCTGATTATAATGTTGAGTTTATTGCTTGTTTGTGATTTTGAATTTATAGATATAAATTTAATAAAACTTTTTTTCGTGTAGTTATCTCATAGAAATTATAACTATAATGAATCATCATACTTCTCTTGTCTACTCTACCTTACTATATGTATTTATATGATAGTGAATTCTTTGTAGCCATCATCTTCTGAAGAAACCACTTTTATTCAACTAAACATAAAAGTCTGTTGAATAAATTAAGGGAAAGCGCACAATTATTGTATGTATGAAACCGATCGGGTAGAGACAGCCTAACTCACTAATCCAGTAAATAATGAATTCAATATCATATTAAACCACCTTTATCTATGGTTTCGTTCAATGAATCAACGGTGCACTAAAACCGTTAAAGGAATACATTTAACATAAGCATCAATGGCTGTTATTATGCATAAAATCTAGTAAACACGAACTACTCTCATAGAAAGTAATGATGAGAGATTTTTCGAATAGAAGCAATCAGTAATCATGCTAGCTCCTATATATCACTCTTATTCATTGATTGACCTTTAAATTAAAAAGAAACACCTTGCAATAAATCATTCTGTTCATGAGATATAGTGTATGGCGTTTTATTTTTCTATTAACTGACCTAAAAGTTAATCTATTCACCGTATTTTTTTAAAATAAATACATAAGAAATCATAGAACCGGAACGATCATTACATTTCTTTGTAGAAACACTAAATGTGCATTGGTAATCCATAATATCGTTTGTTTAAACATGAATTTTTAATGAAACTCAAATAAATTCAGATTCATTTTAACATAACCCTATGAATGATGTCGTATACCTTGAGAACATGCTGGATACGAACATTCATAAATGAACGTTTGGACTACAACGTTCTAAAATGAATGTCTTTTTAACAGCCTTCTGTTAAGGAACATCTAAATTCTTTTAAAGAATAGCTTACAAACAATCTGATAAATTTGATTGCATTGTCAAATATTAAGTTTTATTGATAACTGAAATTAAGTATACTGTTTTTTGGTGAAGTTACTGAGCTGGTTGGTTTAATAGTAAAGCTTTCTTTGTCTTTCGAGATAAAACCATCAGTTAAAATTTCAGGTAGAAGTAAACTAATTATAATTTTTCGAAAGTAACTAAGAACTTGTTCAGTTCTTACACGAAGCAAAAAATAAAATAAATCAAAATAAGCCAATCTTGACATCAGCTATAAAATAAGCTGCTCTAACTGCATAAAGCATTATATCAAATAAATTTCCTGGCCTCTTCATTTCCGTCTTTATGTAGACTAATTGATCATCAAATGTCACAGCGACTCCTCACTTATATGAGTGCATGTGGCGATACCTTCAACCGGGAAAACATTAGAATCTTGGACAGAGGCAACACAAAGAAAATCACTGGACTTTTAGAATCTTGACGCTCATGTTAGGCAATAATCAATAAACATGAAAGCTTAGGGAGATCTGTTGAAGCGTTGGATTATTACAGTGGCTAATATTTCAAACACTATGTTAAATCAAACTA